ATTTTACACCAGGTAGGGGTGAGCTAATTACTGGGCTAAGGTAGAAGATTTTACACCAGGTAGGGGTGAGCTAATTACTGGGCTAAGGTAGAAGATTTTACACCAGGTAGGGGTGAGCTTATTACTGGGCTAAGGTAGAAGATTTTACACCAGGTAGGGGTGAGATTATTACAGGGCCAAGGTAGATTTTACACCAGGTAGGGGTGAGCTAATTACTGGGCTAAGGTAGAAGATTTTACACCAGGTAGGGGTGAGATTATTACAGGGCTAAGGTAGAAGATTTTACACCTGGTAGGGGTGAGCTTATTACAGGGCTAAGTTGTAAGATTTTACACCAGGTAGGGGTGAGCTTATCAATGGGCTAAGGTAGAAGATTTTACACCAGGTAGGGGTGAGCTTATTACAGGGCTAAGGTAGAAGATTTTACACCAGGTAGGGGTGAGCTTATTACTGGGCTAAGGTAGAAGATTTTACACCAGGTAGGGGTGAGCTTATTACTGGGCTAAGTTGTAAGATTTTACACCAGGTAGGGGTGAGCTTATTACTGGGATAAGGTAGAAGATTTTACACCAGGTAGGGGTGAGATTATTACAGGGCTAAGGTAGAAGATTTTACACCAGGTAGGGGTGAGCTTATTACTGGGCTAAGGTAGAAGATTTTACACCAGGTAGGGGTGAGCTTATTACTGGGCTAAGGTAGAAGATTTTACACCAGGTAGGGGTGAGCTTATTACTGGGATAATGTATAAGATTTTACACCAGGTAGGGGTGAGCTTATTACTGGGATAATGTAGAAGATTTTACACCAGGTAGGGGTGAGCTTATTACAGGGCTAAGTTGTAAGATTTTACACCAGGTAGGGGTGAGCTTATTACAGGGCTAAGTTGTAAGATTTTACACCAGGTAGGGGTGAGCTTATTACTGGGATAAGGTAGAAGATTTTACACGAGGTAGGGGTGAGCTTATTACTGGGATAACGTAGAAGATTTTACACCAGGTAAGGGTGAGCTTATTACTGGGCTAAGGTAGAAGATTTTACACCAGGTAGGGGTGAGCTTATTACTGGGATAAGGTAGAAGATTTTACACCAGGTAGGGGTGAGCTTATTACTGGGATAAGGTAGAAGATTTTACACCAGGTAGGGGTGAGCTTATTACTGGGATAAGGTAGAAGATTTTACACCAGGTAGGGGTGAGCTTATTACTGGGCTAAGGTAGAAGATTTTACACCAGGTAGGGGTGAGATTATTACAGGGCTAAGGTAGAAGATTTTACACCAGGTAAGGGCAAGTTCATTGAACTACAAAATAGGTTGAATTGATACCAGCAATAGATTGGCTTATCAAAATAGTATTTTCAGATAAATTCTGTAACAGAAAGCCAATTGACAAACATGTGTTGGCTTATTACCAGAGTGAAGCAGGGGTTTATAGCTGGACATTACTAGAATCATTCTGACTGCCTCGATGATTAAAGTCAATATATGATCCTGATTGCCGATTTTTTTTTTTTTTTTTTGTTTCTGCTGGAATGCTCCAGGCAATATTTCCTCTGCAACAGATTTGCCATTTCAAACATTTTCTTACAATACATTTCATTCAATTAATTAGAAAGATTAGGTTGACCAAGGAATTAAACACGCAAATCAAGTCATAGTTGGTGTCGGTTTAGATTGAAGTGGGAAAAGGAGCCTCAAGCAATTTATTGTGTAAAAGGGTCACACATCCCATCTTACCAAACAGACTATATGAAAGTACATTTAACATTCATGTAAGCCACTCAATGGCAACATCGTGTTGTATGTAAATGTAACAGATATGTGCATATAAATACATGGCACCAGTTGTACAGCAAACGACAGAGAAATTCATTATATAAAGTACATATTGTTCAAAGTTCATTCACCATGCAAATGTTTTTTTCCATGTGTTTAATTTCTACTTTGTATTCATCTAGAACTCTTGATCCTAAATTCCCCAAGTAAATCTCTATGGATGTTGAAATACACTGTGTTTAATTGGCAATAAGCCCATCCACAAATATTTAGGGCTTTTCACCAAGTGGTGAAAAGACCTATTGTTTTTGTTCGGTTTCTTATTATTATTATTATTCTTATCATTATTATTATTATTATTATTCTTCCAATTTTGTGGGTTGATAATCTTTTAAATTTAAATATACAGATATACAGTCTATTCACCTATATGTAGATACGTATATGAACTTGTTGATGCCGATTTTTTAAGTAGGTCAAAAATCCAATATGGCCGCCATGACGTCATAAGTTAAAAACTTAAAAACGACAATATCTCGAAAACTGTTGATTATACAGAGTTTATGCAGTTATATTATTTGTAGAGGATTTCCTTATCTAAATTTTTGTTATGATATGTTATCAGAGAATATGTCAAACAAAAAAGCTCGCTGTTGGGTAAAGTTTTCAAAATTTAACAAATTTTAAAATTTTTTTCAATTTTGAATTTTCTTAAAATTTTCTTCTTCAGATCGATGCAGAACATCCTTCCGATGAATTTTATGTTTTGTTTTTCGGTAGATTGTCGCCAAAGAAGTGAAAAGCCCGCAAAATTGTTAGCAACAATTTCTAGTTTCATTTTTGTTTAACAAATGCTAATAAGAACTTTTATATCATTGTCTTACATTTATACCAGTCTCAAGGCATATGGCTTAAGTAAGTTGTCTACATTGTACCCTGGACTTATTATATTTCTAATATGGTGGAGGTAAGGTGTCTTAATGGTACCCTGGGCTAATCATCTCTTTAATATGGTGGAGGTTAAGTGTCTTTATGGTACCCTGGACTTATTATATTTCTAATATGGTGGAGGTAAGGTGTTTAAATGGTACCCTAGGCTTATCATCTCTTTAATGTGGTGGAGGTTAAGTGCCTTTCTGGTAACCTGGGCCTATTATCTCTTTAATATGGTGGATGTAAGGTGCCTATATTGTAACCTGGGCTTATTAATGTTAAATATGGTGGAGGGACGGTGTCACCTTGGGCTTATTATCTTTTTAATATGATTGAAATAAGGTGTATTTGTGTTACCCTTTGATTATCATATGTTAAATATAGTTGATGTGAGGTGTCTATTTGTTACCCTGGCCTTATTATTTTTTTAATATGTGGAGGTAAGGTATCTACGTGATACCCTCGACTTATTACATTTTAAATATTGTGGAGGTAAAGTGTCTTAATGGTACCCTGGGCTTATCATCTCTTTAATATGGTGGAGGTTAAGTGTCTTCATGGTACCCTGGGCTTACTATTGTTTCATATGGTGGATGTAAGGTGTCTGTATTGTAACCTGGGCTTATTAATGTTAAATATGGTGGATGTAAGGTGTCTATATTGTAACCTGGGCTTATTAATGTTAAATATGGTGGATGTAAGGTGTCTATATTGTAACCTGGGCTTATTAATGTTAAATATGGTGGAGATCAGGAGTCAGCATGAAAAGGAAAACTATAACAATGGGTATAAGGATAAAAGACTTAAAAAACTTATTGTCATCTTTTGTTACCAATTGATACAGGGTCTCATAAACATTTCATTTTTATATTCAATCACAGGGTTTCATAACTTCCTTTTTTCAAGTGTCTAAGTTTAAAAAGTATGCAGGGCAAGTTAAATTGAGCTAGTTTTCATCTAAATGAAATCAATATAAAATGATGAATATCTGATACTTGTATATTGTTACAACCCTTAGTTGTCAGTATCCTAAACTTATTGTAGGATAAATACACTGTAAATATGTTGCCTAAATGGTATCCTGGGCTAGTTATATGATAAACATTGTCTAATTGTGTTACCTGTATATTCCGGTGGCTGGTATCCCAAAGGAATACACACATAGAAAATAGACATGTTACAACATTTATAATCTAGATCAGGTTTCAGATAAGTGACATCACTCAGTCAAAATATCAATTTGAGCTAAGTGAACTTCAACGTCAACAGATATGAACTTGTTTCTGATAACATTGTAAGCATGAAAATGAAAATGAATTCAAACTTTAACCCTTACATTTCTTATTTTCTGGATGTTGCATACAAAGTGACTTTCTTTTGTTACAAGTGCATATTTGAACCTAAGAATTTAAGGCATTCTCAAACAAGAGGCTGAAATGGGTCAGTATCATTCACAACTCTGTAATATAGCATGAGAGCATGAATTATATCATAATCTATTTTGTACATTTCAGAACTAGGCCTTATAAGTCATGTATAAAACTCTAGCCTATGGCACAGTTTAAAAGGCAATGAAATTAACTAGTAGGACATCCTCCATTATTTTCGACAGACTTGAGCAAGTCTACCACATATCACACTGTTTAATATGTAAAAAGGACAGGCCTAGTTTTATTTATTTTCTGCAAAAATTGTTTACATTTTTAAAAATGCAATGATTAAGTATACACAAAAGATATGTATATGAGAATGAGCACTGAAGCTTTGATCAGTAGTGTTCACTGACGATGCACTGATGTCGGGTACTAGCGTAGAAAGACTGACCATTGGTCCAATGGACACAACCTGTTGCTTTTCATGATTAGAAATCTTACTTTGAATTTATTTATGTGTATAGCATACATATATACAAGTGGAAGTGTCGGAAATCGGTCAGCGTATCCAGGGTCAAATACACGTTTGTAAACACCGACTTGTGTGTCATCTTCCGTGGTCACTGAACCGTGGCATCACGCATCGTTTGTTTCTAGTTTCCAGTCAAAGTAATACACAGCAAATATTGTTATGTCGACATAATAAAACTCTGTGAAATAAATCGTTTGACATACGCGAAACTATCAGAAATGCCAAATAATTATGACTACGTGTTGTTTTCTGTAATGTTAAGCTTACAGAGACGTAAGGTTGAAACGTTGCAACATGGTTCTACCAGATTTGCTATCACAAACACTTACACAACAAGTCAGCCATTTTTAGTAACATTTGGGTGATTATGGTGATAAACGAGTAACTTACCGAGTAATTGTGAAAGTATAAAACGCAGAGGACTTTCACTGGAGCCCAGTGTGACAGCAAGCGTCTGCATCAAGCCTTCCTCCTTTGACGCCATGTTTTATGTCTAAACTTACCACCAGAGTAGGAGAGTTCTCGTTCCTGGAGTAAGATAGCGCGGGAAATATGATTTCTAAACCAGTGTCAATGTTGCTGTTATCAAACCTGGAGAAGGATACGCCAATTTGATGATGAAGAGTAAATAAAAATGAGGAAAAGGTAATGTTGTGTTTTGACGACTTTTTATTTTAAAAATGACGTTTATTCTCAGTACATTCTTATTTTGATAAAACGTCTTCATACAAAAATAGTTTTGTATATATAATAAACACATTTTTTAAACAAGAGTGTTGGACATTATGCTCCCAAAGGTGCACGTTATAATATTATGTTAGAATCTTGTTTAAAATCGAAAGAATTGGTATTTATACATCCAATGTACAAGTGAATACTTCCTGGATGCATTATGGAACAATAGATTTAAGATATTATTCAACAAACCACGAATGTGTCTCCTTCTCGTTGCTATTTGTATTGATTCTATAACCAACAAAACCAGCACTTGTATTAGTAAGTTGAAATAGGTCTGGAAAGTGCAAACATGCATTGACCTAGCCGTGACAATGCATCAAAACGCTGATGAAAAACACAGAGAAAATCTTAGTGATAGATTGATTTTTCATTACTCTGTAGATTATTACATTTCATATTTTACTGAATACATGTTAAACATGGAGAGACAGACAGACAGACAGACAGACAGACAGACAGACAGACAGACAGACAGACAGACAGACAGACAGATAGACAGACAGATGGCTAATGATAACATAGTCACATAATTTTCATGGAAGTTATCTCCCCTTCAAAAATATGGACCATTGTATGACAATGACAACGACGATGATGATTTTGATGATGGTTGTGGAATATCACCTGTGTTATATCATATTTATTTACTTATTGTTCTCGTCTTATTTCGATCTCCCCTAACACCAGTCTTGTATTGAAGTGTCAGTTAGAGAGATCACCTAAGCCAACCTAATAATATAACAACAAGAATCAGAGATCGGAATGAAATCTGGCCAGTGTTGAAACAGAACTTCATAATACTGCATGGATGAACGGAAAGCGCAAGTGGGAAAAATCACTATATATAGATGTCCATTTATCAATTTATGGATATCCATAAATAGTTCTAATACACACGAAATGTATTTATGGATATCAATAATTCTGTTTCGTTTATGAATATTAAAGAGTAATTTAATTCAAAATTCAAAATTCATTTATGGATATTCATACATTATCCCTTTTTCGTATCCATAAATCATTTGTTAATATCCATAAAGGAATTGTGGTCATTGGCAGATCTCCAGGGGGCGCACACAGCCCCTCTTGATTTGTATGCCAGTGGAGGCTCAGCATTTTATCAAATGCACTTGCATTGCATGCTTAATGCGTTTTCATACCTGCTTACGTCACACCTCTTCTGGCTTTCGGTCTCTTCAACTATTCGTTCTGTTGCTGGGCGTCGGCGCAAGCGGGTGTACGTATTTACTGTTGTCAAATAGAAACTGGTTAGTTTGACAATGGTGCAGTAGTGATGTTGTGTATTTTTTGTATGCGCATGTGCGACTGTTTTCCTTGACTCTGTAGGATTTCGCGTCGGTGCATTAAAACGAAAATAATTATGAACTTTCTCCGAGTTACATTTCCTCGCCACACTGATATGTAAATTAACAAAGAAGTTGTATCATCTAACAACAAATTAAACCGAATATTGAAAAGTATATACATGAACAATGAATTGCCTTTAATCTGCATTCATGAGCAATTGAATGCCAACTGTGAAATTCAATTTGAAGATTTATCATTTATCTATGAAGGATACATATAATGATGGCTGTCAGAAAAATATCTAGGGGAACGAGGTTTATATTTAACAATATATAGCAATAACGGACATCGAGAGATAAAGACAGTAATGATATAAGAATTTACCCATTGGTTTTGCCTCATCAAAGAGCTTAAGTGACAGAGCTTTAATTTGGAAATATTTAAAATATCCAACCTATAGGCATGTATGACATTGGTGGGCTTTCAGATCCAGAGCGTTACAGACCTTATGGGCCTCTTGTTTTTGTACACATTCTATAAAGTCTGATGCTTTCTGCTACATGTGACATAATAAATGAAATGATAGAGTGACTGATTTTTTTCTTCTTGTTTTGTATTCTAATGAGCCAAAGACTGGTTCCTGAAATAATGTTGAGCCAAGACTTGTATGCATTGTAATTGTTATCAGTAAACTGTTGAGGATTCAAGGCTTCCAGGATGATGGATTCTGACCAGTTGCATTTCTGAGTAATCATTTATCAGAGGGGAACTATATGGTCTTTGGCCTTTTACGTTAAGTGTAAAGGGAGGTACGTGTGTGGTACAAAGTATGGGTACTACTGAATTTGACTTCCAAAAAAGATGCAGAACATTCTAAAGTAAAAGAACACACAGTATAGAATTATTATATGACCCTCTTCATAATATTTCGGAATAAAATACCTCCTACATACTATTCTAATGACTTTCATAAACGTATCTCCTTCCTAATATTTCAGATGGTTGTTCTTTAGATATTATTCTGAAAACCGCCATGGTTGTATCCCCCTCCTAGTATAGGGGGAATACATTTCCAAGATACTTTAGGATGGGGGATACAAATATGATATGTTACCGGGTGTCCATACTATGTATTATTTTGATATTGTGATATCTCATCTGGGACGTATGATAGGGCGTCCCTGATATTATGTGTTATTTTGATATTGTTAGATATCATCTGGGACGTATGATCGGGCGTCCCTGATATTATGTGTTATTTTGATATTGTGATATCTCATCTGTGACGTATGATAGGGCGTCCCTGATATTATGTGTTATTTTGATATTGTGATATCTCATCTGTGACGTATGATAGGGCGTCCCTGATATTATGTGTTATTTTGATATTGTTAGATATCACATGTGACGTATGATAGGAGGTCCCTAATATCATTGTGTTATTTTGATTTAATATTGTTAAATATATCAATATCAGTTCAATTTTGAACCTCACCTGATTTAACTTTATAGAAATGATCGAACTTCTTTATGTAAATTTAGAACCCCAAATCAAAAACTTTCCTTAGGGACATGAAGATGGAATAAGGTTCTATATAATTAGTATTACACAAATGTACCATTGGATCGTGTATCTTCTATTATTAATGCTGTACATCTTCTGTTTTTACGACCTCCAGTTACACACGAGTGAAGGAATAAAATCTCGAGCCAACACTCATGGTTCGCCAATTTGAAGTATACATTATATTATAAATACACTAGTACAAACAAATTATTTTTAACTAGAGATCGACGGATTATAGCAGATTAATACATCGCTCAGGGTTATAAATGACATATTTCAATCTTAAACGAAAAAATGTCGTATGCCAAATATCATAATTTCAAAGATCGGGTTAAAGTGATCTGAACCGCTGGTGTTTTAAAGTAACCTTCATCTACATCAAACTTTATAAAATATGTATATTTATACACAACAGTATACAACTCTATATTTTCTAAAACCATAAAAGCAAATTATGTAGTTTAAACCAGAATTTTTGACGCACTTTATTTGGTAATCATTTTACAACAACAGTGTGAATGCGCGACATTGGTAAGCGATTTAGTCTCGTGTACTATTTATTGTTGTAAATACTGGCATGCTACCTTTTTATTGAAAATATAAGTTGAATTGAAGTTAATAATATTAGGGAGAATCTCGTTACAGGCAGATTCATACACATACTCAGATAAAAGTCACAGGGTTTATAACTCAATTCCATAAAAAGAGCAAATAGAATGTTGAAAAATAGACTTCATTTTTTTTTTTTTTTTTATAAAAACATTTTTTCTCAAGCTGACACATTAAGATGTGGATACATATCTTAATTTCCTGTGTGCCTATATATAGTTTGTAATTAAGCGGGCCGGGGTTACAGTCGACCCCCTCCCCCACCCCCATCCCAACCTTAATCCCAATAAATACAAAACAAAAACATTATCAATATAATCATCATTAAACTCTTGAAATTTTCATCTTTTCTTCCAATGTGGGTTTTTTTAGATACATTTGAGAACCAGGCTTTCCTGGGGCGCTTTATTGTTTCAGTAACACAGTGTGCACCCGAGCTGTGCGTTGCGCACGTGCAAGAATTTTGCATCTAATGAAAACGTTAAAGAAAAGGGACAACCAATGAGCTTGGACTATTATGATTTGGCGTTGGGCACGAGACTGGTCATTCAGTAAACACCTGCTGCGAAATTGACATGTAAGTAGCATTTTTCTCATATATATTTATGTACTAAGTGTAAAACTTGAAGAAATAAGAATTCCTTTATGTTTTAAACGTACGTTTTAGATGTATGTTGTGACTGTAGCGTATACACACACGAAAAATGTACATGTTTGTCCCTTTGTGTGACCCGGTGTGGCCATACAGATCTTGCTGTCCTCTTGTAGTGTCGATATCTCATTCTTTTCACGGAACTAAGAGAACATTTATGAGTTCTTACAGCTAAATAGAGTCTCGCCAAAGTCATGTTGTAGTTTAAATTAAAACATTGTGATAACCATGAAAATAATTTCGGAGAGAAATTACTGTTTTCTGGTATAACAAAGAAACCTTTTGGTCCTAAGGTGTATGAAGCGTCCAGTCCTATATAGGTTAATGAGCGGGATCATTACTGCTTTCTGTTATAACAAGCTTAGAATGTATTTAGGGCAATTCCAATAGCTTAATGTGTGGTATCCATGGTATCTAAGAAGGAAAGTATGATTTTTTGAATTTTTAAATAAATTCTGTTTTGATGATTTTTACTCAATAATGTGTGTATTTCTCATAGTCTGGACAAACAACGATGTTAATATTGTCATATCTATTTAAAATGTGCTTTACTATGTTTGATTAAGTTTAATCCTATTCATAATTGCTATAAATACATAAAAAAAAACAC